AGGAGTTACACAAAGGTATGCAAGCTAGTTTAGTTAGTGCAAACCCAAGATAAGTCCTTGAAATTACAGAAAGCCACAGGGCCAATATGGTGGTGAAGTGCTCGCTTGGGAAGTCCCAAATAGAGAGATAGCACAGATCTTTAATGGTATTACATGCAGATTAATATCTGGAGAACCGGATAAACTGAACGGGACCGAAGTGTTTGGCAAGGCACTCTACTAACCAGGTCACCAGAGGAGTAACCAAAGGAAAAAAACCTAATCGTAGGGACTAAAGGCAGGTCATAGCCCTTCCAGTCCATCTGAATTGGTAGTTTGGAATAGCTAGGAAACTAGAAAACATCTGTAGGTGTACCGAGGTTTGGATGAACTTTATAAGGGCAAAAGTAAGTAACTGTAGCAGCCTTAGTTCGCAAGCATTTATTCTTAGACTCGGCATAAGTTACCAAAGAAGACTAGACAATATGGAAATAGTAGGTACTGGACTGCTCTAGCAGGTGATATACTCGAGAATAAATCAGTTAATCATGCCAGTAGTCCTATAGATGGATGCGATGATCTTGAAACTTGGATTGGCTTATGTATCACATGTTCTGGGTGAGATTAGATGGATTGACATAGAAAACTCAGATCAGAGGGTTTAATTGTGTAATTCAAGTAATAGTGGGTTACAGGTACAGCATCTAGTGTAGCACCTAGCATATAGATAGATTATTTAATTAGACACCCAAAAGATGCAGATATAGCTAGAATGTATTCTCGTCAGAATGTACTTGTCTGGAATCTCTTTGAAAAGGGCACTATATGATCCTAATATCTAATAAAAGCGATAAGCCAAAAAGGCTGACTATAAAAAAAAAAAAATTTCTTGCAAAATTTTACTATAAAATCTTTTTTCACCTGCATATACAATCTTTATTCTACTCTAATCTTAACTAATGAAAAAATGTATTATTTAAATTGTTTTAATTTTATATTACACCTGATTTTAAGGTATAACATATTATTTCTATAATAAATATATTTAATATTTTAACTATATAAAAATATAAATATTTTAAATAATAATAACTAAAAATAACTAAATAATATTTAATAAAATCTATACTAAAAATTTACTTTGATCATTAATATTCAAAAAAAATCTACTTTGTAACAATAGAAGTCTATAGAAAAGTAACAAAATAACCAAGCTCAGATAAGAAAGTAGAAGACACTTTGGTATAAAGGTATTTGACTTAAAATAGTTAATGAATATATACAATTAGAGGGTTAAATAAGTAATTTTTAAATAGATTACAAATATAGCAACTAGTATTAAATTTTTAAATAAACTACTTAAATAGACAACTTAAAGTTGTATAAATGATTAGATTATATCATATTGTAATACTAAAATATAAACTTATATAGTTAAACAACAAATATTAATAAAGCTTAGTTCTAAAGAATATATTATAAAAAAAAATTAATTTATTATAATTAGTTAATTTTTATATAATTAATTTTAATTGAAAAATAAAATATATAAAAACAATATAAACAATACATGACAAAAGTTTTTCATATCTCTAGCTTTTGCTAAATCATGTATAGACATATAAATTTTTATTTATATATAATATATTGTATATGCAAATTGTACTAACATTCTTTGGACAAGCTTGATAATAAAATATTTGCTTTAATTATATAGGAAATTTTAGTTAAAAAAATGTTTCTTGCTTTTATAAATAATATGACCCATTTTTTAAGCACCTATTCGAAAGGCTCTAAGCTCTCAATTCATGAAACAGCAAAGTAAATTTACTGTGATGAAAGTTCTGTATATTATTAGGTAAAAAGATAACAAGAAACTAAAAACCTAAGTAACAAACAAAGATTAGTCATAAAAGAGCTACTATTTAAAAACAAGACAAATAGATTTTGAAACTAAGAAAAGAAAATGAAGACATTACAGCCTCAGAAATCTACTATAAGCTGATAAAACAAAATATTGATATTCACGCGCACATTATTCAATAGCATCTTCATAAAGGTAGAATCTGCTATTATGAAAAACTTTTAAAATCTTTGCTTGGAAAGAAATATCAAAAAAATACCTTTTATAAATAAAGAAACATAAAGATTTCGACTTAGATTTTGTGGTGTTTATTGATAAAAATACCTTCTACTTAAATCAATGACTAAAAAAAGCATAGCAGTTCTCTGAAAGAAGAAAATTAATCTGTTTTGTCAAGCATCTATTGAAAATTCATATATGGAGTTATTTTCTTCTTTAGATTTTAGCAGATTGGTCTGCTTTATGCAGAACTTTAACATGCAATATATAATTACTCTATATGAAATAAACCTTCTGCCTTCTATTATAAACCTTTTTAACAAATGTTGTGATAAGTGGATCTTGCAAAAAAACAATGATCCAAAGTATTGTTTAAAAATCACAAAACTTGGAAGAAAGAAAATAACATTCAGGTTCTCCTTTAGCTATTGATATCATCTAACTAAAACCTGATTGAAAATGTCTGGAGGCTTATAAAAATAAAATTGTCAAAAAAAATTTAAAACATTTAGTTGTTTGAAGAGTGAAATTACAAGGAAATAGAATAGCTTATCTAAAGAATATGTGAAAAATTTAGTCAAGAGTATACAAAGTTATATAAAAGCCTTAATTAAAGCTAATAACAATTATATAATATAATAATTTTTTTTATAATACAATGTATTTTTAAATAAAAAAAAATTTTACTTACCTCACCTCTATGCTGAGTTAAAGGTGTGGAGAAACTTTTGTCAAACACTATACAGTATATAGTCAAACTCCTTTATAGTTACATTTTTGAAATACAAAAAACTATAATTATAAAAAAGTATAATTAATATAGAAGTATTTTCTATATTGTTATAAATAATGGAGTAATATATTTGTAGCCATGGCTACTGTAACCGCATTCCATAAAAGCCAATCAAATTTAAAGATCAGATGTAACATAATACAATCAGGGAAATTCAAAACAACGTTTGTTTTGTCAAAAATTATCAAAAATCGGTTATAACTCAAAATTGAGTATAAGAACTACTCATTGAGTTCTAACAAAAAAAATTTCTTGCTAAATTTTACTATAAAACACACCTTTTTACCCACACACTATCTTCACCTCACCCTAATCCTAACTAACAAAAAAAGTGTTATTTTAGTTACAGCTACGGTAGCCTATAGCTACAAATATATTAATCCATAAATAATTAGTAAAAATAAATTTGTAATTATATTAATTTTGTAACTATAGAGGAGGTTGACTGTAAATATTTTTTAATATACTATTGTTGGCCTATGACCTGTTATAATCTACTGCTAATTATATGTTATGATCTTATAACTTGTCATAAATTATAAAATTTATTATTATATTATGACCATCTTGGTCATATAAAGTTGAATATGATCTAAAATGGCCAACACTGATATTAAACACCAAACTTTCAAATATATATAAACTTTAAAGTATTATAATTAATTTAGCAAAAATTCCTCTTACAGATTTGTTGTTTTTTATTCAAATTACAATATAGCTAAAATAAATTTATACAAAATTTATAATTTTAAGTTATATATAATATTTTTTATATTTTATATATAAATACTGGATGTTTATTTTTTATAAATTTGGTTAAATATTTGATAATTGTTTGTAAATAAATTTTTTTAAAAAAATTCTTTTACTGCAGTTTTATTTATTAATAGATAATTTATTTAATTTTTCTCTTCTTAGGCGGTCACGTCAGCATTTTATTGAATACCTACGTACGTATAATGTAATACAATTTGCTAATAGATAATCAAATCATTATTAAAAAACTAATAAAAAAAAAGATTAAGCAAATAGATGCTAGAAACCATATATCGTAAAGTTTGTGCAGAAAAGTTTACCTAAGTAGAAAAAAAACAAGTTTTACAAAGAAAAATATGCGTTTTTTTAAATATTATTTTATCATTATAAGAACTTTAATCTACTGCTACGTATTGATCTATTTGTTCGCATAACGATGATTTAAAAATAAGTTAATATATGTGTGTATTATAATTTTTATACACATCGATATATATCGATATAAATTGATAATCAAAGGTTATATTCTGACCAATAAAATTGTGAACTCTATTTAAATTTGAAATCTGTATTAAAAATTTATATTTATTTGGAATTTGATTTTTTTTTTTTTTTTTTGCAACGCAAGATTTTTTTGGTATATAAGGTGACAAGATTTACATAATCCGGTAACGCCCGCTTTGAAAGTCGGAGTGTGCCATTAGCGGTCTTGGAACAATAATTCTAAGCAATGCTGTCATAATATCAGAATGTTACAAGTTTCTTGAAACAGCAAGTTCCTTTTGTTTGTTATTCAGGGCTCGTCGATCTTAATTGTTCAAATTTTCTTTTTAAGTGAAGTAGTGAAACAGAATCAACTGTCTTATATCGGCAGTGTTAATTTGCCGATAAGCCGTTGCTATATATAAAAAATCTACATTTTTTGGGTGCCATTCTTAGTTGTCGTGATGTAATCAATCATATAAATCAATCATATAAATCAATCATATAAATCATAAATGGTTAGCGTTAGTTCCATGCATTAACTTAAAACAGTAGGCGCAAACCATATGTATAAATTTTGACATAATAATAATCTGATATTAAACATGTATTCTTCTAGAATTTATTACTGTAAAAAAAAAAAAAAGTACGCATGTACGCACATGTATACCATAAAACTTGAAATTAAAACAAAAAAAATTAATCTAAGTAAAATTGAAACTGCTAATATATAGAATAGAAATTCTAATTACTTTTACACAAAGATATAATTTTTAGCAATCTATCAGAACAAGCCTATAAGAAAAAAAACTACAAAACGAAAATATATATATATATATAAAGAAAAACAAAATGCAATATTTTACAGAATAGTTATGGATTTTAAAATTAAAGTAATTACAAGTTTCACAAATAACCACTTCTAGCCCTCTTTCCATCTGGTCTCTTGTTAGAAATCGAAGACATTGTGAAATAATCATCATTGCTAATAAAACCATTATCTCCAAGGCTATCGAAAGTATCAACATCCCAAACAGATACTGGAGAATGTTTTGAAAGTGGTTTTATGCTACTATTCTTATAATATGTATGATTACTGTGACTATTGAACAAACTACTGTTGTTACTCTTGAGTTTCTTCCCAGACTGTTTGTTTGCAGAGGAAATATGAGATTCTTTAATTTTAGTACTTGACGGTGAGTTATTGCCAATCGTCTTATTGTTCATGAATTTCTTTTTACTCCATCCAGCAAGGTCTAAAGCGACACCACAGGAAAATTCGACCATTAGGACTGCTAGGCGGATTGAAATAACCATCACCGCCAGTGTGGAAGTAACGATCGCCAGTGAAGTGAAAGATGCTACCACGAAAATGATAAGTGGCGCACACAAAACGAGCAACGAAATATAAATATAACGTGATGACATCTTATCAAAATGATATTTGTTTGTCTCCTGCTTATATGAAATTTGAAAGTTTTCTTTATTAAAAAAATCCTCGAATCTTTGTTCGTTCGCTCAATCAGAGAATAAACTTGTCGAAAATATGGAGAATAATTCAACGGTTTTTTTCGATATTTATACGAGTTTGTATCTGTCTGATATTATTGTGATGCATTCAAGAAAGTAATATTAAACAGCCAAACAAATTTTAACAGGTTTTTATGCAAGCAAAATTTTGGGGAAGTGGGGTTATAAAAAAAAAACAACGTTAGATAATAAAGTCCTAATATAAAAAAAAAATGTAGTGACGAACAGGAAGTTTCATGTGGCTTAATTAACTGCTGTGAGATGTTCTACACGGGGTCTTTTTATATTAAAAATGTAAAGAACTCGAAATATTTATATCATGTGACATGTGACCTATTGTGACATCACAATATACCCAAAATAGCTATGGAAGTATCGTGACATTGCTCAACTAATTGGTTCAATTCTCTGATCAAAGTTGTATGAACAGTGCAAATCATTTTAAACTATCAC